CGATTTGAGTGTTGCAGCAAAAAAATTAGTACTATTAACGAATGTTTGCAAGAAATGTATAAATTGAAGAATAATGGTCCGAGTACAGAACCTTGGGGTACTCAAGATGGAACGGCATACTTAGGCGACATATCCATATCAATTTCAAAATCAAAATTTACCTTCAGCAAGTAGTACTCGATACTTTAGGGTATAAAATGCCTTCGTAAAATCAAAGGATGTTGTTATCATGTGCTGATCCCGCGTTCTAACAATATTATCTGTCAGCTCCAACAATGCACCTGTCGTATTGTAGCCTTTTAGGAAACCACGTTCTATGTATAGTTTCTTTCTCGTTCATTTGGCCATCATACGATACACCTTATTATTACCATGAATCTAATGTCTTCTTCAATTGGAGAACAGATTGAGGAGTAATATTAACCATATCGTTCAGTAGCATTTGCCATTTTACGAACAGTACGTAAGCGATAGAACAATTAAGAGAGGTACATATCCCTCCTGAGATTGTTTAAGCGATATTCTCTTTCTGTTAACGTGACTAATCCAAACGCTGCAATACATGAGGCTTAGAGCTGCATGGTAATTAGGAATTGCAATTAGAAATAGTAATTAGTTGTAGTTGTTGTTTGATGTTGAAGAAGTAATTAGCGTAAACTTATAATCGATGGCTTTAAATACCTTATGAATTTTACTGCTTTTTAATAAAAAATGGAGATTTTACTTATTTGATAATAAAAAAAAATGCTGAGAAATGTTATTGTCGGCAGACCACGCGGTGCGTGTATTTTCGAAGCTATATATTTATTCTACTAGAGTCATATCAAAGTACAGGCTGAAGCCTAAATACCATGGCATCGAGGCTGCTATGAGGAGGTTAAAGAAACTGTCTTGAACAGCCCAAGGTTAGTATATCTGGGAAAAGATTTCTCATGTAGGAGGAACTCGTCAGTGGTAAAAGAAGCTGTCGATCGACAACAGCAACTTTCTTGAATCTTAGTTCCTTAGGAAAAACTTTTTAAAAACAGGTTTTCTCGTTTTATCAAGTCTATGTTGCTTTGGGTGCAAGTTGTCTTGGTGTCAATACTCGATATATATTTATAAATGAATCGTGGGTTGAGACTAGAGTGGTGTCATCAGATTCTGTTGTTTATAAGAGAGTATGTCGTTTATATAGAGCTAAAACAGCAAAGGGCCAAGGATAGATCCTTGTGGCACGCCAAGCAAAACTGTGCTGACTGTTGATATACAACCATGGTATTCGACGATCTGTTGCCTTCGGTTCTAAATAAGACTTTAGAAGAACTACGGCGGACTCCTTGCTACCGGATATTGTGAATGGACGCCGAACAGTGAATGAACCAGCCCACACCACATGTCTGTTCCCTAAAGGAGAACAATCGTATTCTGTTTGCAAGGCAAAAAATCATCTCACACACTGGTTATAGTGTGGTAATAAAGGATGGATACAAGAAGAGAACCCGAACGAACATCGCTGAAAATGGCTGGCGGTCTCGTCCTTGCCCTGGGACATCCATAATTGGCGCAGGCGGTACGACTTGCGGTGGCGCTGTCTACGGCCTGGGAAAGGATGCGACAACAGTGGCGGTTCCAGATGTGGCACAAGAGGTACCATCTCTTTGATTCAAAAAATCAGTACTACACGTATTCGTCTATACCGAAAAAGGACAGTGGTACTTAGGGTGGTACCCAAAACAGTACCCGTAATGGTACTGTCTTCTTCATCGCAAAAACAATAACTATTACTCCTATTCGTTTAGTTATAAGACGATGTTTGATTAAGAGGACAGTGCTGTTACCCAATGTACATATTACCCAAGATGGTATCCTCATAAAAGTACCACCTTCGTAACACGATCAACTTGACTGTTGCTCTCGTTCTTGTCCGGGAACATCCATAACGGTACGACCTGAGATGGCGCTGACTACGGTCTAGATAGTGGTGGTACCCGATGTGGTACCTACAGAGGTACGATCTTATGAAGAGGTACTAGGCTTATTCGTCTATTTAGAAGATGAACTTTCGAATGAGAGAACAGTGGTAAAAAACATCTATTTATAAGATAAATTTCAAATAAAAAGTGCAACGGTACTGATCACCCAAGATACTTCATTTTGAAATAGAACATTGGGGGTACGCAATGGAGTACCGAATATTGTACTCACATCTAGGTTTTACCGATGGAGGAACCGACTTGACTGACTATGAAAGGAAATGCAAGCAAGATAATTCATCTATTTATAAGGCGAGTTTTGAATGGGATACAAGTCGTACTACTTAGGGCGGTACCCATATTCTTGGGTACCACCTTTACTATGAAAACAGGTACTGTGGCACTCGTTCAGTTATAGTTAAGGCGACTTTTGAATCAGAGAACAGTGGTGGCATCACATGCAGTACCCAAGATGGCCCCACGGTAAAGTACCGCCTTGATACGACCAAGCTACCTGTTGGCATTGTACTTTCCGCGGAAGGTACGACCTGAGAGAGGTACCACCCTTCAGACAGTTTACTTTGAACAATGCCACAGTCCTGTTAGAAAAGAGAGCGATGTTGAGATCTAGTACTAATTGAGGCACAAACAGACCCAACAGGTATCTTATACAGTGGTGATTGTAAACATTCAGTAGTACCGCTATGTCATCTTCATCGCCGCCTGGCGTACGTCTCTGAGTTTCTTCAACACACCCTTAGGACAATCGTGAGTCCATTCATACCGGCAAAGCCAATTCTATGAATCATTATGGTACCCACGCACCAAGGGATGCCCGAACCAGGAAATGAATGGGCAGACCATCTTATTTTACATTCGTAATACTTACCTACATTCGGTCGGCGCGGTACGGCGCGAACGTACCGTACTCTCGCGTCCTCTTTTGTTTTTCCCCCATCGCGTTCTGACTGATTTCGCGTACGATTGTGCGGTTGCCGCATTTGCATTTTGATCTTTGCCGCCTCACAGCCTGGGAAGCGACAGATATACAGGGAGCTTCGGCAAATCGTGGCAATACTAATAGTACTATTCTCTTCATTGTTGTGCCACCACAAGACAGAGTCAGATTTTTTAGATCATTAGTCTTCAGTTTCATTAACGTTTAATTTACGCTTTATGGTCTATTCAAGCATCATTCACACCGCGATCGCCGCTTTAGTCTTTAGTTCTTTAGTCCGAGAATTTGAACATATAGACATATATATATATATCGAGGTCTTCTAGCCGTTTTATACTACAATGTGTAGGTTGGCTCTTGTTGTGGACTTTGTGTGTCGTTTTAATCTACTTTTGTAGTTTCATATGTGCATTCATTTCGGGCCTGATGAAGCCAACCAGCAGAAATACGTATCGCTCGGGTTACCTATCCTATTTTCTGCTCGAATCCACTTTCCTCCTTTTTGCGGATTTTGCCCATGGTTTTCCTACTTTTTGTTATATACTTTTCTCCGCATGATCATTTTCTCTTTATATATATATAAAGAGGGGCTGATTACGTGTTTTTTACTTGTTGATGTTATATGAAATGTCATGACATTTATTTTAGGTTATTCGTTTGTTTATGTCCCAGAATGGCATAACAAATAGCAGCCAGTATTTCCCGAATTCTTCATATTCCAAAGAGTTAAAATAATAATAATAATAATTGAAGTATGGCTTCTTCCATATTATAAGGAGACAGTTACGATCGCTAGGATTATAAGAATCGTAAAAATAAATTTCCAAGTAAAATATATTCAAATCGTATCATATTGATACATTTTACATAACTATTCATGGCTTGAGTTTTTCTTTTTAACCAGTACTACTTGAAAATTGTAATTTAAGCATATGTTTCATTATATCTCTATAACGAATAAAGTCTTCGCCATTTTATAGCATTTTTTATGCTCTGTCCTAGCAATATTAAAAAAGTATACCGTTGCATTCAAAATTTTCGAGATGATTAAAAAAAACGGCGACACATTCGTAAAACGCTATCTAGTGAACTAATTTGACAGAGTTGTTAAATCAGTACGATTATTTCTTATTTTTGTAAAATGTCACTCATTTAAACTGTTCTTTCAAGATTATGAGTCTCTATGCGGAAGCTGACCACACAAATAAATTTATTGTATCTCATTGGATACGAATACATTCAAATAGCTCTCCTAATGGAGTTGCAATATGCGTATAACAAACCGTTATGAACAAGAAACATAACGTCATTCGAAGTTAAACGACATCTTTTACAAACATAAAGTAACATATTAGCCGCAGCAAAAACGCCTCCGAAGATACTGCAAATAACTAATTACCCCTTTATTGCTTACAAATGGCCGAGAGTAGGAATACCGATGCATCAGAACATTTCGTAATGACTTCCTTTACAGACGGACGGGTGGTACTTTTTCACGAGGTGTTCCGCGGCCAGTTCTCAAAGGAATTAATTTTAACGTAAATACACTTGGGCAACGCGAGATTAGCCAATAAAGAGCAGCGCATCGGAGATTTAAATTTCAAAAACGACAGAGAGAACAAACGCATTGCGATTGTTGAACAAATGAATCAGGTAGTCCGCGATTTGTAATCAACGCTACCTACGATGCGGATGTCGCAAACGTCAATCGGTCGATGATGATGTCACGTCCAAGAAATTTTATTACAGTAGGTTCTTCATACAAATAAAACGCAAAATGTCAATAGTAGGAAAGGTAATTTATCTTTCTGACTTACCAACAAAGTTAATACTATTCGAACGTAGAGACTTGAGTCACGCATAAACTGCTTGTACACCAACTGAGGTAAGTCTCAAACAACGAAAAAACGTCTCTTTGGGAATTCCGATCCTTTTAGTTCCTATACAAAGGCTTCAATTAAAGTTTTGACTTGACAAGACCCAATGAAAAATGTGAACATGCACCAACTTGAAAAAGTATCTGCCTCCGTTGTGGTATGCCCAGTTCCCGAACCGACAAAAATTTTAGAAAAAAGTATACTACAATCTGCCTCCTGTGAGGATTGAACTCACGACCACTGGTTTACAAGACCAGAGCTCTGTCACTGCGATACAAACCCCTTATTTGACTAATTGTCGCTATATTTGACATAGTTGCTAGTTATCTATGCAACCAGATAACTACGCTCAAATAAATCTGATACGGCATCTCGTTTGACAGATCACTTTCATTGGCCACCTGTGGAGGCGTCCGCGTCTGGTTAAACCAATAACAAATCTACATGACAAGTTATGTATACTACGCTTGTGATTAAGGGCATGCATAACGACGTAACTAGTTTCAGTTTTTACGATTACACTCGGTCTCGTTTCATGGCTTAATGCAACGATAACGCCTAATTAGTAGTCGTGGATTAAATAAATACCCCGCGATTAATATATTCCTCACAATAAATATGTACGGTTGTTTTAAATAAATAATCGATCCCGTGGCTAAGATGCTTTCGTACACGGGATTAGCGTAATTAGTATCTCTTCAACGTGGTTCACATGCCGACGGTATCGTAAACATGAAAAAGTGTTTATCGGATTTTCTATTTGACATGACAACACTGTCGGGGCCATATTGAACAAACACTGAACGCGTTAACGAGTCGCATTTATAAAAGATCCTCGATTCTCAATCGGTACCATCTTAGCACGGGGGCGTCGTGAATAGTTATTATAAAAAAATTAAAATAACGCAGGAGTGGATTTTGAAGATGTTGAACAACAGGAAATGTCATCCCACCGTAAATCTTTACAGTGAATCTCGACTGCCGGCAAATATATGTTTATCATACAATAATATATTCAACAAAAAAGCCAAAATTGTTACATTATATCAGCCACAACGATCAAGGAAACGTTCAAGTTCCAATCAACAAATTTTAGCAACCAATAGCTATGAAATGTTGAAAACAAATCGTATCGTCATCTCACGATCCGGGCTGTGTTAGAAACAGTGACTAACTTCAGATTACTTTCCTTCTTTGTTTCCTTTCGCTGGATATCGTTAATTTTATTCCAATATCGATACTTCCTAAAACGATAAGAATCGATACATATCGATACTTTTCGTGGATCTAAACATCTCTAACCTTGACAGCTTGTCGTTCTTGTCAATGGGGCTGCAGGGTGCGGTGTTGCCTTTACTATCGTACATTTTTCTAAAATCTTATGACAAATAAAAGCTTCAAATGAAATATTGACGAATATGCATAGAATTCAGAATATAAATTCATATTGGAAATTTTAGATTGTCTTTGCATGGACTTGAAGCGGATTTTACGGACCGTTAAATATTAATGTTGGTGAAATTGGCCCTAAATATAACTATCAGCCAAAGATCATTCTACTTTCTATGCTCAAAATTTTATTTTATCCCTGAAAACTTCAAACATATAAAATGTAAAAAAAAAACGTTCAAAAATTTAATTGAAGTCATGGATCTTAAATCGACCAAGGCTACACATCCATATAGATATGGAACATCAAGTTAATATGTTATTTGATAGTAAATTGATGCAAATTTATACGTTTGACTAGTGTACTTCCAGGAAATTTGTTGTATTCATATAATTCACGTTCTATGAAAACCCAAGCACAAGTTTAAACTTTCTTAGGTACATTATATTTATTGCATACTGACCAATAAACATTATTATTATTATTATTTCATATCATAACATGTACATACCTTATAACAAATGAAACCGAGTGATTTCGTTAACTGTCTCCTCCCGACAATCTCAATTTCTTATCTGACTAATCGGCAGCTCGCGGACTTTCTCGATGGGATGCGCGTCACTAGCACGCAACCAAGCGACATAAGGAAAAATCGCTAGCTGCCCACTGTTAATAATTACGCCTTCCTGAATAAGGCTCATTTGAATATTTTCCAATAGCCTTTGCTGCGGTACGAGCCATTCATCGGGCGTTATAACCCGTAACAGAAAAAAATCACATGCAGCATCCTCTATAATATTAGTACAGGAAACATACGGAAATTGATATCAAAATGATTCAAATGTATCTTCAAATGGGAGAATAGGGAATGAAAAATCTAGAGCCTAAGAGCTGAATATCGGTTACAGGGCTAGGCAGATACGTAAGAATCTGAACGTAAAAATGAAGAGAAACGCGATAGCAATTTTCAGACATGGCGTTTCTTTTTATTTTGTCTTTTGTCTGGTTAGGAGACGGGGAATTCCACAGTATTTGACTTCTAAAATCCCGAATAACCTTCACAATAAATCGTAAAGGCGGAAAAACTGTTATGGATTTTCAGTGTTTTAGCAGAAAATAGGTCTTAAGCAAAAGAATCATCCTAATCATATTTTTCATTGCGTATTACTGAAAATTACACTCGTTTTAATTTTCCATGTTAAGGTAAATAGGTAAACTCGGGCAAAGTGAACATACCGGGGAAATCGGAATCGTCTACCAAGCGAGCATCTGATTTTCTTTTTCCAACGAGAACATTGAAATTGCAAGGTAGGTGTTGCGCAAATAATTCCATCTTAATACCGTCAATACGAACAGCTACACTGCCACAAATTAAATTTTAAAGAACTTTTTAACCTTTGCATCAATTTCGTTAATTTCACGATGAATGAATGATTTTCTTCAAAACAGCGTATATTCTTCAATAATTGAGATGTTGACATGAATCAAGAAAAGAACTGTTGAGAAAAGTTGATGCTTGAATTTCTCATTACACATTATTCAGTGATCCAATGTTTCCACAGGGTGTTCAGAAGTGTAGGGCAAAATGCACCTTTTAGTTACACCCTGTATAACAACAAACATTTCCAATTTCTTTGCAAGATCGGCAGTCGATGATGATAACAATCAAATTACCTACAACTTGATAGCAAAATCAACGAAATTGATGCAACGGTTAAAAAGTTATTTCAAATTTAATTTGAACAAAATTTTGTTTGTCCTGTTAATTTTTCGTGGCAGTGTATTTAAAACAGCTGGCCTACGCATATTTTTTATCTACTATTTTAGTGATCCTAAAGCAGCTTAAAGTTGCATCTAGTGCGACTAGAAAATTTGATATGCTCAATTCGTGTACAATTCTAATGAGATGCATAATAGTATGTGCTATCACTCCACCTGCGGCACATCTAACATGCAAGTAAACTAACGGTGCATCATGGTACTAATGGTTCCAACGCGCTAGTCGGCAGTTTGTATATATGACATTCTTTTTATTTAATTGGCCGAGATGGAAGTGTCAGAAATCCTACGGTTAATTGACGAGAACGCACAGACCACAGATACTTCATCTGTTACATGGCTAGCGTCCTATATCCTATGCTATATTCAGATATACAGGGTGGCGCGTCGAAAACGAAACAGACGCATTTAAGTTCAGTAGTTTTGAAGATTTATTGATTTAAAGCTTAATGTAGACTTTAATAGGTACATCAGATTAGTTTGTACTACTTTCAGAAGAAATTTGATTAAAACAATTTACTTAATAAGTAAATGCTTTTCTTCACTACGCCCATGGTTTGTTGTTGAAAATAGCTATTGGAAAAAACGTATTTCTTGAAGAAAGATAAGGAAATATCTCGTACTTATTTTAAATAGGAATTTAGTACATAGTTTGCATCTGTTTCGTTTTCGCCACCCTGTATATTGACACAACATTTGATGGAATAGTTTCTGAGGCTTTCATAGACTCGTCAGTTCACAAAAAGGCACCGCCTGAAGTGTAAGACTCTATAGATGAACAAACCTGTTTTTACTGTGTTACCGTAAGGTGCCTTTGGTCAAAATACGTCGCCATGACCGCTCGATGCCGTCGATTCTGGCGATATGGCACGATGACGCTGCTCAAATAATGCCGGAGAGAAAGGAGTAGCTTTGAATTTCGTATTTTCAGCTTCACGTAACAACGTAGATTTATTATTTTTTAGATTGTGCTGATCGTTGTCAATAAGCATGAAACGGCGCTGTGCACGGCTGATCCTATAAGTAAAATACATATACGTCGAAGAGCCACAATATTTCAAATAATTTCTTAAACAAATTATCTCGCAGTTGAAGAGTTCATTATTCAGTCAAAAGTAATACGCTAAACAAAATGGTTATCTTAAGTCTATGCAGAAATGTTCATTCCTCAGTTTCACAAGAACTGCTAAATGAAAAAAGCGGCAGTACTTAGATGATAATATACGCAATGTTACGAAAATTAATTGCGATTCAGGAATTTTGTGTACCTCATTGTTTATTGTGTTCATTCCACTATCATCAGTCTCTTTCAGTTTTCAAGCTGTAATTCGTATTGCGTATTTTGATATCTTTTTTTAATTTACATATAATAGACGACCGGCCTCTATGCACAATTTTTCACGCTGTCGGAATTGAAATAATAGATGTTTTTAGATATTTCAATCTTGCTAGCACGACGCAACAGTGAAATAAACTAAATTAAATCTAGGTAAAACATATTCAAATATTCTGTTCTAAATACAGGGTGACTTTGAAGTTGAGTCATTAATTTTCCGATAATGATTGTAGAAGGAAGATAAACCAAAATTTTTTACCTTGTTTTATAAAGTATCCTCCCGACAAGCATTTCAGTGCGGACTTGTATTTGATCGTGAGGTCCCCTGTGAGGTCTTAAGTCACCTGATTCACGAGCCCGTTGTACTACATTAACAAAGGCACGAGGGGTTGGTTGCACTCGATTGGGAAACCGATCCGCATAAACATGTGCCATTTTTTATTTCGTTTGAGCCACGCAACAGATACCACTATTCACTGACACTGACTGTATACAAATGAATGAAATAATTGTAAAAACATCGTTCCAAATTCTTTCGCTTTTTTGTTTCCGATGCGATGAACCGATACGGCGGATTATATCCGTTGTCGCCAAACACGAGCACATATATTATTATTGAGACAGGGCGGTACTCAAACTTCCAAAGGGCTATAACTTTAAGTTTACCAGAAAAATGGTAAAGGAAAAAAACATTTCTTTAGATCAGATCTACTCACTGTTAAAATAAATGACTCAACTTCGAAGTTGTATATTAAAACTGATCGTGATTGTGGAGAA